AGGGAAGAAGGATGCCTTACCTCAGGGAAGAAGGATGCCTTACCTCAAGACGTAGCCCAAGGTGATCATGTCCTTCTCCAGTGGCAACTCAAAGCTTATTTCGGGGAGTTCGGGCACCACGGGCAAGATCCCGCTCTCCGGTTCGGGGAGAACCCTAAGGAAGGAAGAGCCAGATCAATCGATCAGGATAGAGCTGGAAGGGACCTTGGAGGTCCTCTAGTCCAACCCCCTGCTCAAGCAGGAGACCCTGGGTCATCCCAGACAGCCAGCGCTTCAATCTCCTTTTAAAAACTCCCGGCGATGGAGCATTCAGAACTTCTGGGAGCAAGGAGTTCCGCTGGTTCATTGTTTTTTAATTGCCGGGAAGTTTCTCCTTCATTCCAGAACTCGTTTCTCTCCTTGATTAATTCCCATCCGTTGTTTTTCGTCCTGACTTCTGGTGCTTTGACCCCCCTCTTCTTTGGGACGGCACCCCCAAATTCAGGAATAGCGCTATCACGTGTGTTTCTCCACACCCCCAATTCTTTTCTCTAGCCAAACCCAATTCCTGCAAATGTTCTTCGTACGTTTTAGTCTCCAGGCCTTTTAATCCTCTTAGCGGCTTTTCTCTGCACTTTTTCCAAAGTCTCAGAATCCTTTTTTTGTAACGTGGTGATCCCCACCGCCCCCCCAAAAAAGTTGATGCCAAGAAGATTTGCTCCCCCGGTCCCTAGAGGCCCCATTTCTTAGGGTGCGGGCGGCAGGCAGGCAACGTTTACCTCTCCTCAGGTATCACCAAGCTTGGGTGAGCTTCTTCCTCGGTGGTCTCAAGGGATATTTCTGCAAAGAAGACCGAGAGCCTGTCAAGAAGGCCCCACCGCTCCCCTCTTGGAGGAGGAGAAGGAGGAGAAGGAATGAGCTCCGTATCCAAGACTCTCTGGAGCAGAAGTCACCAACCTTTTGGACCTCATGGACCACCAGGCTCGTGATATTAAATCCCGCGGACCAGAGACCCTGGGAAAGTCCCCCAAAAAAATCGACAGGAAAATAGCCTGACACCCACACCCTCTCTGGGGCACCCCCTGCCCCGTTTTCCTACCGATCAATCATTATTTGGAATCGCAGGATACCGTCTCCAGCTCCGTTCTCAGGGGGAGGCAGAGAGAGAGAGAGAGAGAGAGACTTTTGGCTCCATGCAAGGAAAGCAGCAGAAGTCTTTCTCTCTCTCTCCCCCAAACTCCGCCAGACTGGCGCAGCCTCTTGGAGCAGGAGGCCTTGCAGGGTCCCAAAGACTCGTTTCTGGCGGAGTTTGGGGGAGAGAAAGAAAGACTTCTGCTGCTTTCCTTGCGTGCAGCCAAAAGCAGAAGAAGAAAGAAGCAGAAAGAAGCAGCCCGGTGGCCAGGCCAGGCGCGTGGGGCGCGTGGGGCAAGTTCCCCCCCTCCGCCCTTTCCCCCCTCCCCTCACTACCTCGTGTTGTTAGCAATGCAAGAGACGCAAGCCTTGTGTTCCCACGCAGCCTGGATTAATTGCTTTGGGGGTGACATTTCTCTGCTCTGGAGGACTCAGGACTCACCTGAGGAGCCCACTGGAGGCCCGCTCGGTTCCTCACTTACGCGCAGCAACTGGAGAAGGAAAGAGAGAATGCCAAACCTCACGAATTGTGAACCAAAGACACAAACGACCCAAGAGGTTAAATCACATCCAAGAAGACAATCCACCCGCCTTTCAGCTCGATTGTCCAGCCAAGCTTCCAAAGAAAAAATTAAAAATGTAATTGTTTAAGATTCAGGCCTAGAAATGGGAGATTGTGTGTTCT